CATCGTTTCTAATTAGAGTCTAAACAAATGTTTCAGGAGAGTACTCGGAGAAGGAAGGATACAATGAATCTGACTTTGCTCCTACTTACGAAGATAAAGATGGAGACTGGATGCTTGTTGGAGACGTTCCATGGGAGTAAGTTCCATCTTCCACGGGTTCTTTATCTTTTATATAGATTTAGTGCTCTCCCAGCTATCTGTTTCCCCAAACTTACAAGGGTTTTGATCGTATTGCAGTATGTTTATCTCCACCTGCAAGAGGCTGAGAATTATGAAGGGATCAGAAGCTAGAGGATTGGGATGTTAACAAAAAGCATATACAGAACACGATTGTTCAAAACGTGTCAACGAAAGGAGATTTGGAGATGTTTAGGACGAGAGTAATCTGCCTTGGGGTTCTACAAGAGATTGTGAGGTCTCTCAAGGTTACTGTGATAGAACAGAAACATATTTGATGAGATGCTTTTTCACTTTCCCTTCTCCGTGTAGCTTGATTTTGCCTTCATTTTGTTTTTGTTTTCTAAAATCATAAAGAATTAATACAGCTGGGAAAGAGAATAAATGGAAATTCTCGAGATCCAACTGCACAGAGAAAATGTATCGCTTTCTTCCTAGATTTGGATATGTATCAATTACACTACAGATACAAAAGATTATGCTTTTTTTTTCTTAATCATATACGAGTGTTCAATATTCAGTGCTAGAAACAGAGATAGAAAATATTTGCTTTTACTTGGTAATTGAGGCTCTTTTTTATGCTTAACAGTCTAAATGAGATTTGGTATAGTCATACATGAGGCATAGCATTTGTAGGGGAATGTGAGATTGAATGGACTTTGATATAAATCCAAAGACCTTATTTCCAACAATATTTTCCAAATCTAGTTCAACAATATTTTCCTTTTTCCATTGATGGTTCAAAAGAGAAATTCCAGCAGGAACTCATACCCTCTTCAATCCCACGATAGGAAGAGTTACTTTGAGAGCATTTTAATTCCACATTAGGGTTCCATCTAATACTGGACGTCTCAATTCATCCAACAAATATTGTTTTTGACATAACAGGGAGAAATGGGGGTAAGTCCAATAAAAAAACCCAGTTCGAGCACTAAATAGCTAGATGATCATTTACAAGGATGGATGCTAACATCACACTTCATTCATTCAGAGAAGAGATGAAACTGGGTTTTCAGGAATGTATAGAAAAATTGCGGATACCTTTCCACCAATTTGCTGGAGAATGAATCCCATCCAAGCCAGATTGCCTGGAAGGGCTTTACCCGATTCTATGAGAGTACGTTACTAACATTCAGATTGAAACTTCAATATGTATATGCAAGACCAAAAAAAAATAAAAAAATAAAGGGGGCAGGCAGATGATTATGACTCTGGCAAACTTCCATTTCTAGGAAGAGAGAGCAACAAAATCTACAAAGATGATCCGGTGAGAAACGTATTTCAGTATTTATAACTCGTCATCAACAATGACTAGAAAGATTGCTGATAGGAGAATAAAGTTCTTTGATTCCCTCCTATTCTAAATGGTAGCTAGGGAGGAGACACTAGAGCTGCTACCAGTTCTAGAATTTCTGTATTCTTGAAGCCTTGCTACCTCTATCATCTATGGACATTGAGTTTCAATAGAGCAAGCTAGTGAAAAGCTGAAAGAGTATCTCTGATCATTGTGAATAACAGAAACATTGCGATTAAGACAACAGGGGCATCTATTCATCATCAGTCATGTCTTCTCTAATTACTTTTATTGTAAGCTACTAGTAGTGAGCAAAGTACAAAAAATCAAACATGATTGTTGAGGACGTAGTAAAGGCGCAAGAGCTCAGGTATGACACTGCCAAATATTAAGTCTAAGCCATGGGTTATGTGTACATCATATACAAAAACTCTGACGTGGGATTACATGCATATCTCAACAAATCTCGTGTTGATTTCCTTAATTATGTTAGCTCTACATCCTACTCCTTTACTTAGCCCATGGTAGTAACAGATCAAGTTGAAGCCAAGCTGGATGGATTGAGGTCCAACCAAGCACTCATGCATAAACACTAAAATAATTCAATCTTACATAGAATACGCTATATAATGCTCCTGATTAAATCCATGAAGAAATACCAGTCCATGTTGGACATGTTTCTTTAGGCCAAAATGAAGAACTATGTTTTATAATGATAAGCATGTTGATTCAAGTTCTAAATGCTTCAAAAGCCACGACTAAACTTACAACTCATAGTCAATATATTTCTACATCACATAATATAAATACAAAGCCTATTCTGGATCCTTAAAAAATTACCTCAGATAAAGAGGGAAAATAACTTGATAAGCAGGAATTCCACCATAAGTAACACCAGTAATGGGGGGAAAGGCACTACCCGCTATGATAAGGACAAGAAATCATCACCAGACATTGAACTTAAACGCAACTTAGAGTCCTGATCACGAAAAGACCCCATTCTTTCATCCAATATAGCTAATTGTGACTTCACCCAGGATGGATTGTACCTGCCTTCAACCCACAAAGCTTCTCCAGTGTCTTTGTGCTTGAAATCAGGATATTTTGGGTTCCTCTGTAAATCAAAGAAATTAATAATGGTGAATTAACATAATGAATGAAGCATATAGGAATATATAACAGCAAACAATCAATTTGAAGTCCTGATGCAGTATTAACAAAAGGCTGACTACTTCAGGCTTCTTGATCCATTTTCATAAACAATTATGAAAAACACCATAAAATGAGAATGGATTAACAGAACAACAATAAAACAGAATTTTAATGCACGAAGAAATTGTTTTCAGAACATACAAACACAAAATGATCACCGCATCAAAAGCAAGCACTCAAGAACTTTCCAATCAAACACCAATGGCAAGAAGCATATGTATGCATGCATTTTCCAATTTATTAACTAAGACGACTACCTTGTCCTTCCTGTTATCCCACCACTCCAACGGACTAGCAAAAAATGCTTGCCACCGTTCTTCTGTGGAACCCATGTCATTTGCAGTGTTATTACCAAACTTTCTACCTGCAGGCAGTTAAACATCAAATAACGTCAACAACCAAACAATAACTTTACATTCGAAATCTTATGTCATAAAAGACATGCCATTTACCAGCTTCCACGTTATTAAAGCCTCGGTCATATAATCCTGTCGGAGAGCTCCTCTCTATAAAATTCAGCTGCTGGACAACCACCTGCAAGATGTTGGAACAAGATAAAAATCCAATTGAATAAGCTTATTTAAAAAACTAGCCTAGAAGCATATATGACCATAACAGAACCTTGTAGTAGGTCTGCAGCTTCCCATCATCATTTTCAACTGAATCTGAAATCAGACGACCAGACACGTATATTTGCTGGCCTTTCTCTACATGCTGAGAAACAACTTGGGCCAACTCATCCCAGAAAGTCAAATTGATCCTGGGAAACACGCATTATCATTTCCATAAAGGGTTTATGAAATTTAAACCCTATGAAGCAAACTGCAATGCTTGTAATATCACAGGAAAGCAGGAAACAAATGTGTGACAGAGCCCTACAAGTAAAAGGTAACAGATACTGAACACATGCCATTAAATGTACCTATTTCTAGGCTACGCAGATGCAACTGTAAATAATTAAAAGTACAAAATTCAACTTGTTAAATTAAAAAAAAACTTCACTTATGTTTTGCATATGTGCATTTTGTTTACCAGGAGGTGTCGGTTGCCGATTTCTTGACAGCAAGTCGAGTCCAAGCGACTACCTTGCCGGAGGGGAGGTGCTTGATTTCCACAGGGATCCCAACGATGCCGATGAGATGCACCGAGTTACAGAGCTCCTTGTTCCATTGAATCTCAGCCGGTTTAGCATGCGTAACCGTTTGACTGTAGTGGTTGTCTCTGTAGTCAATGGAGCATTTCAAGCTGCGTTTGGGGAGGGACTTCTTAGATGAGGAAAGGGGGCTTAGGGGTAGAGTAGGGATTTTGATGTTTGTGAGAGGGTTTTTTGGAATGGAAAAAAATAGGTTAGCTGTTGGTGATAATGCTAGTGTTTGCTCTAGAGCCATTGGTGGAAGTTGAAACATTTTGGTCTTGCTGTGATTTAGATTTAGACTTTATGGCAGTGAATGCCCATGAAACGGTGAGTTTTAAAGGTGCCGATACTGTGAATGCGGTGGTGAGTTTGGTTTTGCGGGGAAATATCTCTCAAGGGTTTTTGGCTCCTCTTTTCACCGCACTCTTCTGGTTATCCTTGTTCAGGAGATGAATGGTGTCCCCTTTCGCAGGGAAGATGGGCTAGTTTCAGTTTTGGCATTGTCTTTGGGCTTGGCATGTATCCGTACTAGCACCCTGTTTTTATTTCAGAACAATTTATATTAAATTAATATGTTAGTCTCTTTGAAATAAATAAAAAAATTAGAAAGGAATATATATATATATTAAGAGTAAGAACAACCGTCTTTCGCAAAAGGTATTTCAAAAAAAAAAAAAACTTAATAAAATTGTATAAAATAATTGATTTAGAAAGAACTTTCAATTAATTTTTTTTCCAAATATTAATATGAGTTGACAACAAATTAAACATAGAATGCAATATAAATGGCAAATATTCCTCTAATAAATAAATTTTGATAAAAAAAAGCATAAATTTTTTTAGGGCAAATCTCATCCAATTTAATTTAATATGAAAAAATTCTCTCCGAGTATGAAAATTGATAAAAAAATAGAAAATTAATATATAATTTTAATTAATCATATTCCAGATGATCCACTGTGAGTCACTTTATCTAATCGATAAATAACATTAAAACTGATTAAATTCTCATTTATTATTTTTATTTTTAGAAATCCAGAAGAAGAAGAAACAAAAAAGGACAGCTTCTCTATGTTTTATGGGCCGGGCCTTAAAACAATCCACATCCACCTATCTCCACGTGTCCAGATTCAAAGAGCAGGCTAGATTAATGGGCCTGACGAAAACAGAAGCTCGCCTACCCCTCGCCGATTGGCTTGTGCACGCATCATACTCGGAACATGCTGGCTTCGTTCATTTCCTATCGGATTTGTGGTCACTATCATCGGCATCGTCCCACCCAACCAAATCGTCTTCACTCTGCACTGAGCTCAGCGTCCCCCGAAAATGCTAGCTCGTCTCGGAGCCACGCGTCTTCTCGAGATCCGTCAAGCTCTCCGCTTAACTCCTCAGGTTTTCTCCTTCGATTTTTATTTCCTATCGTTTTTCTCTGCATCCAATCGCCTCCTTCGATCTCATTTCTCTCCGTCTCTCTCATTTCCACAGGCATCTCGATCCTTCTCCACTGCCTTGAACTATGTAAGCACTAATCCTCCCTGCTACGAAATTTTGACTGTTCGCATTGAATTTTTCATTATTTATTTTTGAAATTACTGTTGTGTGAAATGAAATTGGGGTTTGGTGCAGCACCTTAATACTCCGGATAACAATCCGGACCTTCCATGGGAGTTTACGGCGGCGAACAAAGAGAAGGTAATGTGAAATAGCTAATAATTTTAATCTTGAAGTAATTCACTCTTATTATTTTTCTTTCGGTCTGTGTATATGGCATTTTCACTTAATTTTGCTTGTATTTTCAATAAATCTTGATCATTTATATTCATAATTATTAGTAGTAATCGGCGGAGACAAGCCAAGTTTGGTGTATTTTAAACTTTGGCCTGGGTTGTTTAGAAATTAGAAACTGTCTCCTGCCAAGCTATTGGGTGTGGCGAGATGGATAGCCTTACTAAACTAAAGCCTGGTCGTGAAGGTAATGACCTTGTAAATCAGAAGAATCTATAATTATGATGATGCTATGTAAGTTGGGCCACTGAAATGGGAGTGTTATATGATAAATGCAGGTTTGGAATTAAATGCTTTGTGCATAATATTGGTTAGTTATAGGAGACTTTGGCATGGAGTGATCATTTTGTTGGTATGTTAGCGTTTTCGTTTATGGCCTTGAAGAAGGTTATAGCCTCTAGCAAATATATGAGAAAGGTGATCGATAAAAGCAATTTATGATTCGGTGACCTTCTTCTTCAGTGTCATAGAGGAACTGCATTGGAGGGTGATGCGGGCTATTATTGTGTGAAACTTACTGGGTGCCTGGGCTGTAACTTCTTTTCCTCTCTTGGAGTGCTGATGTAACAACTTGTATAGGAGTTAAAACTCTGTGTTAGTAGATGATAGTGAACTCTTTGCATTTAAAGGAGGCTTCTTTCTCAGGATTGTTATTACTTTTGGCCATACAGTAATGTATTCATACATGGGGAATAATTCTCCTCTTCTTCTGTCTTCAATGAGAGTTTTGGTAATTTTCTTTCTTGTTTCGGTAGCGTGACTGTTAAACATGTACAGACAATTTTGATGGTTGTAGCTATTTCTCCTTTAATGTGACCATGGTGATATAATGATCTCATCATTGTTGTGAGGAAGATGAGGGTGAAACATAACATCAGCAGCTTGTACCTAAAATTCTGTATATCACAAAGACAACTGTTTACATTCTTCAATTATGTTAGGATCATGCACCTATGAATTCACCAAAAAAAATTAGCTATTCATAAGGATAAAACTTTGTTTCCTTAAATCAGCAGTACATATCCAATTTTTAAGTGGCTTCTAGGCATGAAGGGTTGCTCAATTAGTATGAATGGGTGAGGCAATTAGCCTTGGATTCTTGTACTGCAGTAGCAGGGCAGTCGATCAAAGTATGAATGCTGGCCCTTATAACCCTGGAATCTCAATTGAACAGAAGCTTGCCTAGCCCCTATCTTTAACTCCCTTCACCAAAAACATTGATTGTTCTCTTAACTGATTGTCTATTAATGTTTAGATGTTAGCATTTCATTTTTCATAACCTCTGATGTCAGGTTAAAGAAATAATATCTCATTATCCATCCAACTACAAGCAATCCGCAGTTATTCCTCTGTTAGATCTTGCACAGCAACAGCATGGAGGATGGCTCCCTGTTTCAGCAATGAATGCTGTAAGTGGACATGATGTACAAAAACTACTGATTTTAATTCACATTTATAAACTTCTAGCAGGAAATTTGAACTAGTCTTGTTAAATACAGGGAATTTAATGGCACATTTGATATGTTTGTGGTAAACAAAATATTTGCTGTGAGAGTTGGATGCTAGCATATCATGGTGCCTTTCTATTTTAATGAAATGTTATATGATATTTTATCATATTGTGTTTAACATTTTGTTGGTTGCTTGTCTGTTGTTGAATCATTTAGGGATTACATCTGGTTCGAAGTTGGGTAAATCTGGCCATAGTTACTGTTTTCCCCCCCTCTTTTCACATGACTTTTCCAATGGTAATCAAGCTAAAAAAATACTCCAAAATCATGATTTGGCATTATCGGACCCCCCAACCCCAAGCTAATGGAGAACTAGAAAATGCATTTCTTAATGACATAAGCAATTGAATATGCGTATCCAAAATTCACATATGATCACATTTTGTCATATCAACTTTGTCAACCATTCTTCAATTCCAAGGCCAAGTTATGAGGATCTATCTTCTAGTGAATTTCATACCCCATAATCATGGTATTGATGGCATGCCTGTGACTGGACGATGGAGATTCAGGCAAGCTAGCCTTGGGATACCTCCTGACCATCAAACCAAAAAAAAAAAAAAAAACTAGGAGCCAATTTATTTTCTTGAAGGTTGTACCTAATATTGCTGTATCTATCAGGGGAAAAAAATAACCTAGTAGAATAAACATTAAAGCTACCCTGTTTAGTTTGAGGATGGTTTTGTGCTTGGCACTATGTATGGTATTCTTGCTTCAGCGGGTGTGACATTCTTTTTGTCCCTCTGTTCTTATTTGTAGAGCATAAAATTATAGGAGATGCAAAATAATTGATATCTTGAACATAAATGGATAGATTGATAAAAATCCAAGATGGCCATGAATTGTATTATTTTATATCAAATATTTTATTATTTTTCCTTCTGAGTTTCATTGAGATTTACTGGATTATTTGATTCATATAATCAGATCATGAACTTGTTTTGCTAACGTGTGTTGCCACTTTGTTTTTCTTAGTTTTTAAACCTGTTTGCTTTAAATTTCAAATTTTTGGATATCTTCATGTGACTGAGAAAGATAATTGTACTGGAAAGCAGACTGATATATGATTAACAGTATTGAAATGTTTTGTGGATCCTCTAGGTGGCTAAGGTAATAGAAGTTGCCCCTATCCGTGTGTATGAAGTCGCAACGTTTTACTCAATGTTCAACCGGTCTCCTGTAAGAAAATTTATCCTTTTTTACATCTTGCTTTCTCTACGAATGCGTAATGCAATTTCACGAGCCTCTTTATTTGGTTTTTCAGGTGGGCAAATATCATCTATTGGTTTGTGGCACAACACCATGTATGATACGAGGTTCACGGGAAATTGAAGATGCATTGCTAAAACACTTGGGAGTGAAGCGCAATGGTGAGCTCTGAATAACGTGCTTGGCTTCTTTCACGTTATAGTGGATCACTTGTTATTTAGAATTTGACTTGAGATTTGGAGAATAAACCCTTGCCTCCAATTTTTAACGTGCAGAAGTAACCAAGGATGGCCTTTTCTCTGTTGGAGAAATGGAATGTATGGTGAGTATTTCTTCATCCATCTTTATTAAATGAAGCACTGTTTTCCTTAGGTTGTACTTGAATCAGGACTCAGTAATAAGAAAGAACTACATCCATGCTGGATGCTCCAATGAATTTTTTGGAAAATGGATTTCAATGTGTTTATTGCTAGGTTTAGTTGAAATCTTTGGTTTCTAATTAACAAATTCAAAGAGGAAAACTAGCAACAGAAATTATGGGTATTTTGTTATGGATCACCCAGTTATCTTGCTACACATATTACTGTTTGAGTGCTCCTCTCCTGTGGGGTAACCACATGGAATTGTATAAGGGTATTAGAAGGTGATCAAATGCAAATATATTGATTAGCTTAGATTGTAAAGGCTCTTGCCATCTTAGCAGAGAGATCGAACCCAATTTCATAGGCAATTGGTGGTTAAGGGGTGGCAATCCATCCACTTAAAAAGTACAAAAACTATGTGAACTTGGATAAAGAAATACAGGTCTTTTATGATACTCTTGACCATCTTTTGTTATGGATGCATGGTGTGATATTAGTTACTGCTTTTCTGCAGGGATGTTGCGTAAATGCTCCTATGATTACAGTTGCCGATTACTCCAATGGATCTGAAGGATATACTTACAATTATTACGTGGGTCCATGATAATCCCCCTGTCCTTAAAAGTTGAGTATTAGTGTGTTCAGATGATGTAAAACTTTTAGAATTTTATGTTGGTCTTTCATTTTAATTGCAGGAAGATGTTACTCCAAAACGAGTGGTTGAGATAGTTGAGATGCTAAGAAAGGGGGAAAAGCCACCGGTAAGACTACTGGCAGGGGATTTTGATTATCTTTACTTTTCCCCGGGATTATTTGTTTCTCATATGACTAGCGCTATTATTGCTGTAAACTCAATTTCTCTTATGCATTCCAGCATGGCACACAAAACCCACAACGCACTAAGAGTGGACCAGAAGGAGGCAATACTACTCTGCACGGAGAACCAAAACCTCCTCCATGTCGGGATCTTGATGCCTGCTAAAGCTATGGTAAATGTTGTCTCAAATAATGCAAATCTTGGAGTTTTTCAGGCTGGCTTGATGATTTGCTATTGTTTCATTAAGCTTAACCATTTTTTTGTATTTTCCTGCCTGCCTGGTTTCTGGTGGATGTTTAAATCCATGCAACTGCTTATTTCAAGTTGTGAAATGGCTTAACAGATGTCCTTGGATTCTCATAAAATCTGTAGGTGGTTGAGGGCTTGCCTTTTTATGGTGGCACCGAAAACAGTTTATTGTTTACACTTGGGTATGGCATGGCTCGTAAAATGTAATTCTAAAACCATCCCTAAGATGTTTCTTCGGGGCACCAAAAAAGAAGGAACAGAAAAAACCACCATATGATAACGAGTCAAATTTTGTTGATTCTGAAGTGAAACGAGGGAGTGAGAAACCCAGATTTCCCATGAGTTTGTCATTCGGAGGTTAATATTTTCCAAGCTTTTTTCTTTTCGTTTCATTTTTTTCTCAGATGAGGATCTGTACTCAGTAGCGACTAGCATGTCCACAAGCTTTGTTTCTTGGATTTCTGAGCTATCCCTATATGGTAACTGAGCCATCCAGCAAACTGGATACCCAAATTGGTTTACTGTTTGGGCTTGTTGACCTTAAGAGGAATGTTCACCAATGTCGTGATAGCTGTAACGATTTGTTTATGTTTGATGCGGTACTCCGCACTTCGAATGGACTGGGCCACATCAGGAACGAACAAACAGTATTAACAAATGATAGATTATCATGATGTCAGCCCTGCTTTATCAACTTGTCTCCTGTAGTGCCTTGAAAGTGATAGACATTTATCCATTTTCGTTGTAGGATTTGAGGATGGTGATGACCAAGTTGTATAGTGTGCGACTAAAATGCGGATATTAAAGACGATAGACATGAATATAAGCGTGGATGTAGTAACTCGCTTCATTTGTCGTAATTGACTAGCCCACTTCTGTATTAGGCTAAGAGTTGGTTTAGGGTCAACGGAGGAGTCGAAAACCAAACCCAACAAGCTCTGTATCTGCAACTCTTCTGTTCTAAAACTTTTCATCTGTTTTTTTTTTGTGTTTTAAAAGTATTTTTAAAAATTTTATTATTTATTATTTTAAATTAATATTTTTGTTTAGTGTTTTTTGATTATTTTGATATATTATATCAAAAATAATTTTTAAAAAATTAAAAAAATATATTATTTGAATAAGTGAAAAATATTTTCAAAAACAGTATTCTTAAAAACTCTCCCTGTAATGAATCCATCCACATAGCATCGCAGGTACAAAAAGTGCTGCGGATACTTGCTGTTGCACAGACGTGAGTGCGGTTAATAACGGGCAACAAGAAGTGGAAATATTTGATAGCAATGTCTGATGATAAGGACCAGCACCTCAAAGACGCGTACAAAAGCTGTTTGAGTTTGTCCTCCTTGAATCGAAGTCCCTTCTGTTAAGGATTCTGTTTCCTGCCCTTCAATTTCACATTCGCACCGAACGAGCATTTCATGATTCCAGGAAGATGGCTGTGTTAACAAAACAGTCGGCTTAGTAACGGTAATCAACACAACCCAGATCTCCCATTGGATATGTCTCTCTCCAATGATTTCATCATCCAATAACGATTTAGGAGAAAAAGAAGTCAAATTGCCTTTTGAAACACCACGCGCACTTTTTAAACAAAGTAGCCCCATCATTTTCTGTTGGACTAGAACACCCAGCATATTAAAACAACCAGACATCTACCTTTGCATTCCATTTCCTCTGAAATACACTATTACAATAATAGTATTTACTTTCAGTCTACCACTTTTACAAGGTCCCACAACCCACTACAAAAGAATTGAGCTCCACCAGAAAAGTGCTTTCGTCATTTTCCACTCCCCCACCACTGATTCCAAAAGAAGAGCATGTCATGCGAGCTTTGAAAACTCTCCTCTCACTCGAACCTGTAGAGCGCCTGCGTTTTTCTAGGCATAGACATCGAACCCCGTTTTGAAAAAAGGCTGGAAAGAAGTGGAAAAGGCAAGAACTATGGCATCTGACTTTGATTGCAATTTGAAATTCGGGGAACATTTGATCGTGGGGGTTGAAACGGGACAAATAAGGAGTGGGACCCTAGGCATTTGGTGACTTTTAAACGGGACCACGGGATGCTTCCCCCTTTCCACGGTTCTATGACGGGGGGTTAGTTTCTGGTTTAACAATAGTGGTGGTATCTGGTGGTTGTGTGTGGTAAATTGCAGTGGCTAGTGAGATGGGCATGATGCAAAGAGCCTTTGATTGGAGAAACTGCATGGCAGCACCAACATTTTCCTCCATTAGCTTAGCTACCTGTCTTTCAGTGCCATCATTCGACCACTTCTCCCACGCCAGTTGGTTTCGTCCACCTTCGCCAGTTTCATCCTATAGTAAAAGGAGTGAGCTCAGTTGCCTGGGTGCAAAAGGGAAAGGAAGTGAATTATCCTCCATAAACACTATCTTTTCCTTGTTACCTCAACTGGTGATAGTGGGATGTCCGTTACAAGTGGTGCAACAGCACCAGCTCCGCCCAGTCTACTCATGCTTAATACCTGTTAAATTGATGATGTGTCATTATTTACAGAAGGAAAGAAAGGGGAAATTAATAAATCCATTACAGTTCGTGTGAGCACTTCATTTCCCAATGAATGAGGTATGTACCTAAAAAAGACACTGAATATTCAAACTTTAATTGCATAACATATAATAATTCACCTTTTCCAGGCAGGCAATCTTCATTTTATAATTTGTCATTTATAGTGAAAATATTGTCATTCATTAAAATTTATGTGCATCCAAGTATTCCTGAGGAAACTATACATGACCCTCTCATTTCCTTGCAACAAATTCTACCACAAAAGCACCAACAATATTTAAAGACACAAAAAAAAACTTGGTTCAGAAATGGAAGGATCAAAGAACAAAAGTAGACACCCAAGACAAAAGGGAATCTAAAATAACTGACAAGTGGAAATTCATAATTAATGTGAAAGACCATAATCAATATTCTAAACAACTGACCACCAATAATTTGGCTTTTATATTCTAAACAATTGGCACCACACCACCACTATTCTGACATAAAAGCCTGTTTAGATTGGATGAAAGAATGACTCTTGCTAAAATCACCCATTGGTTCAGCAATCATCAGAACCTTGACTGACATAATCAATTATTCTCAAACAAAGTAGAAAGGGGGGAAAGAGC